GTCAAGGAGGTGTCGCGAGGTGCGTGGTATGTATTGTTCAGCGGCTACATGGGGCACAGCGGTGAGTGAGTGGCAAGTGAGCGGCAATGGTCCTCGCGGCGCGTGTGCATTTCGCGCGTCGTGCCCACCTCGCGTCTAATGTCGCACATAAATCAGAGGTAACGCGCCACCCCACCACCCCGCACCCCCGCACCACCTCGCCACCGATAAAATTCCAAATTGTTTTCTCGCCCCCGGTGGGCGCCGCCCTCGGTTCGCTCTTAAACGCCGTTTCAAGTTGCACTTGTGAATCGCACTTTTTACTGTTCTTGAAATTGGCGTTGCGAATTGCTTTTCGACTTTGCTCGATCCAAGCTTTTATAGGATTCGGTTATGTTTAACGATTGTTCGAAAAATTTGACAATGTTTTTTTTAAACGAACTATCGATGCGAATGGGCAGAGGCGACACGTTGGCATTGGTAAATGCGAGCCAATTAGAAGATTAAGCGTTGACAATTACGGTGTCGGATCGCGATCGTATATCAACAATTATCGCGCGAGTGCGACAAATGGCGAGCTGGCCCAGTGCACGTGTAAGCGCGGTGTGTGCCCAGCTCTATCTGAATACCGAACATATTTTAAAGCAATGGATACGCCTGCATCCAATCTACATCGATACCTTTTTGGGAAATTATTTAAGAATAATGCTGACTTGTAACATCGTTGAAACGATACGGGAAATAATTTTAGGACCTTTATACATTTACATGGATCGTAGTATACCTTTATTTCCATGGATCCTGGTATACCTTTAAGTAATGGTTCGCTTTAAGAGAAGACCCAAAAATGTTTTTACTAAACTTTTTATAAAGTGACGCATCCAAAAAGCTTGCGCTTTGCAAGTTGCACTTTTAACAAACAGGATGGTACATACGCACGGAGCTGCAATATTGTTCGATAAATCGCTAGAACCTAGTTGTGGGAATTCGTAGCGCAATGGGCCATTACCGGTAAAAATGTCCTGTCGTGTGACATCGATCTATTACAATTGCTGAATATTACACGGCTTATTAGAATTTCTCTAGTTTAAAGATTAAAGTTTAAAGATTGATTTAAAATCGTATCTAAATTGTGTAAAAAATATTCGTTCTTCGAAAATCTTAAATTATTACAACCATCATTTGAAATTCTCTCACTAAATTACTTATTGTTATAGCAAATGTGAACACAAAAAGATAAAACAATTTTAAGAATCACGTGATTTACACACTACGACCTGACTTCAAATATTTACACATCTGATTGTAAAGAGAAATGATTTAAAAAAAGGATTTATGTGGCACCCATTATAAAGGGGGATGTCAAAATATTTCACTACATAACACAGCTTCTATGAAACCACAAAGAGTCGACGAGTAATTTATAAACAACAGGAATCTTAATTTAGATGTTATATGATGTTCTGTTAAGTTCAAATTGCTTTGTATATTTATGTAGGTATATAAGATAAAAGTATTTGTATATCATATGTGGAAGATTTACGATGGTTAGATGCTGGTGAGAAGTAAATCAAAGTGTGTGTTCGTTGCCAACTGTGTGCTCCAACGATTAGAGTTTTGGCACTGAGACCCGGCGAAAACATCTTCAGCCAGCGGCTTGGTATCGACGACGGATCCTATTGTACATTAGTAAAACATGTTAATTTAAATCTGTTCGCACTATTCTACCTAATACACTCTAGCTCTGTGCTTATAGAATTGAGTCTGTTTCTCTTAAAGAACGTGGCACATTGTTCAAATTAACTTTCCAGTTCTAATACAGATTCTTGGCTTCCAAATGTCTGGTAGTTATAAAATGCCGATATAACAGATTGTCATTCGATTGTTAACATACTATAATATTGAATATTTACAAAAATAAGTTATTGAAATCTTGCTTAAGAAAAATTATGTAATGCCTTATCCAATACGTGACTTGAACTTGTGTTTGTGTAGTAATTTTTCTATTGTAACCATAATATATGCAATGTCAACTAATAAAGTAAATATCGTAAGATAAACATTGCTACAATCAATTTAATCAATAAACTGATCTTAAGGAAAACCCACACCGGTCAACGCAAACACAAAAAATATCCACGAAACCTCATAATTAATGACTTCTATTAATTCTGTGGCAGATGTTGTCATTTCCGATATTATCAGTGTATCAATAAATTGTTCCTAATTTGTTGAACACAATAAACAAAGGCATCAGATGGACTCTCCGCTTATGAAAGCTTTTGCACACAAAGCCGCGTAATCGACAAACATCAAAATATTTGCCGAGCGGATGAAAAATGGGTCCCCGTTGAATAAACTAAAAGAGTGGCACACAACGCGGCAGGTTTTAAAACGGAGCTTACAGTAAACGCGATTAGCATGCCAACTAGCGACGGACACACCGACATATTTACATTATTCTATTATTCGCCGCGATTATCTTTTGGGGTGAGATAATGTGTGGGGATTTCATTTTGTTACAGTCCTCCCTTTTGTACTTTTATGGGGCATGATATTAAATCAGTAATAGGGATTTGATTGAGAGCGTTACAAACCTATTACTATTTGGTTGAGCAAATTTTTAAGAGAACTACTTTCACTAAACTTTTTATGTTTTTAGCTGATACTGTTTACAGAAAGTTGGCGCACCTGAGTCGGTGTCACCCACTCGACATATTGTACGACAATTCGGCTGATCTCTGCGGGGCAATTCAATTACAGTGAAAGATCCCTCATAAGCGAATCGTTTTTCCAAGTCATTAATTTTTTCGAACGACACGGGGCTCCGCATGATACGGCGGGGTGGGTCCAGGCGCGCGGCTATCTCGTGAGATAATGCTGATTTATGCGGGCGGCCGACGGTCGCGATTCGTCGCGCATCGTCGCCGCGACATGCGAATGTCGCGCGATCGCATCGTCGCTCGCGTCAGTTTGTTTAGCCGCTACCCGCGTTCCGCGCCCGTCGTTCATTTGTGACGGTTAGTTGGCGAGATTTATGCTAATCGACGGGGCCGACTCGGATAAGCTCGCGTGACGGTGTGTGGCAAATTGTCTCCCATTGCGACTTCCCAAAGCCCTTTGTAACGCCTGCTATCGCGCTCCATCTTTATAGCCGATACCGGCCGTATCAAAAGCATCGATAATGTGGAAAAAGAGATAACGCGAGGTAATTACGAAGATCTATCGCGTCTAAACCTCCTCATAAAAACGAAACATGGCTACAATCTTTTTTGCGAACGGTTATTATAACAAATCAACACTGTTATTATTGTGTTCTGTGTTGCTAAATTCGGAAATGAATGCGACTCGCATATATTTCCAGATGTCGTATTTTATGGTGCGTGGTAGAAAAACTGGATGCCCGAAGCGTCGTTAACTCGAGAACATTATAAGGAATAAATAAGTGAGGTATTAATACAGCTTTATAGTCCGTGAAAGAGCCTTCATTGTTTTGTACATTATACCCGGCCTTTGTTCACATTTATTTGTATGGAGACGACGTATTTAGCATTAAATAAATTTCAAGGCAAAGCTGTGAAATGGTTTAGATTCCCTAATTAGGCTCAGATATCGAGCGGCTGGGTATTGTGTGCGTTTAACTTCAAGTATAATTATATGAAACTAATGTAGCTATAAAGTACGTGGTGTAGAGAGCTCGGCGAACAGTGACTACGTTGGAGTGTTTATAGGCGGCGAGTATCTTGCGGTTTGTCTGAGTAAGCTACACCGTTATCAAAAGATTAGGTTTGCGAATTTGTCACGATCGGTGGGCTGTCGCGTTGATTTACGCGGGCGTCGATAAGCGTCGCCGGAGCGCGCCGCTCCACCGCGCGGCTCGCTACCGTCCTAGTGTTTCCTCGATAACATTTACTCACAAATCATTTTCACCTGCACGGCCGTCAAAATTAAGCTAAACATGCTACTGCTTTACAGATTTAGTTGATTAGTATCTGACTTTCATGTGACACCACTACTTGCACTCCAAATTCAATTTGGTTTATAGAGTCTGAGTAACTATAACAAGTGACCGTCGTTATCACGCAAATTTTGTTCTGTGACAAAGCCTACAAAGACACACCACTAATCACTCAAATTCATCTTTTATAGGACTTCATATGAAACGTAAGTTCATTGCTACGTGTGACCGTAATGTCATCAGAATACCAATACATATGTATTTATATACTTGCATAGTGACGGATAGGTTTCTTTGGCAGGTCCTACACTAGTGGTTTTCTTGTTTTAATGAGGAGAAAATGAATTTGAGTTTCAAGCAGATTATTTGGATGGTAATAATAATATGTTCGATTGATGTGATCGTTACGATTTTGATTGTAGCGCCCATTGTTGGGTACGCGAGTGGCAGCAGGCGTGCGGAGCGGCGCGGGCAGGCCGCGGCACGGCGGCGGTCGATTGCCCATTGTTCGACACCGCGCCGCGACCGACACGCCTCGCGCCATCGCCTTCACTGTGCCACCTACCTTATCGCCTCTGAAACGCGCCGTCGATATTGCCTTGATCTCGTTAACCAACAATCGCGATTCGATTACCTACCTACCACAGAGTTTTTAATTTCTCGTCAAGTTCAGCACGAGAGGCCTAAAAACAATTCGTTTTGTCGTTTAAGAGGTTTATAACGCGTGCTTTATGTCACTGCTGCTTGTTATGAATCTGGCGCTCGGTTCAATTAATGAAATATTAATTGTGATAAAACGACTCTTGTTGTCAGGTCATTCGCGTTTTAACGCAGATAATTAAAATTCAATTAATTTTTATTTAAGTGATTTTTACTATTGATAAATCACACTGTGCCGGAAATCGAATGTATAATACTGGTCATGTACAAAAGAAGACCGACGCCTAATTAATTTATATGTTCGCCGTCGGGCTGAGTAGGCGTTGATAGATTGGCAGTAGGACATAGTTCTCCGTGGTTTTTAAATCAATATAAAGAATCAAATTAAAAACTAGAGACTTACCTTCCAGTCTTAGTGATGATCATTTCCGTTCCTAATTCGTTAAACTTGTCCCATAACTCTTTAGTTTCGAGGTGGCACTGTATGTGTCGCATCTCCTCGCTGGACCATCGCTCCACGAGCTGTGGGTTCCTGGGGGGCGGTGAGATAGGCCGGGAGCCACTCGGGGCTCCGCTGGCGGACCCTGCTTCTGACGTCGACGACACATCTACGGGAGAATCTCGCTCGAACTCTGCGAGAGGTGGAGACGGAGAACCCGAGGCAGAAGCTGTCGCATCCACAAACTTTTCTGAAAGAACAAATGATAAACATTAATTCTCTCCTACATAAGTATATCGCCAAACATGTGAGGTCGATAATGTGGTGCGATTTATAAAAAACCTCAACATTAGTGTCGTGCTGCTAGTTCACAGAAAACCAGAAAAATATAAACGTCATTAAAAATGTATATTTAGTTAAGTAGCCACTAAAACATTTTTCCGCTTTGTTGTAGAAAAAACCTGTCATCGTAATGAAGTCATTACAATGTTAAGAACAAAACAATTTGGGACATATCTAATTCCTTTATCACATAGTTTTACGAATATTTTATAAATGTAAGTATAAATAGGTGTGTCTATCTGTCCGTCCACAATCTAGCACTCTATTAAATGACAGATTGACAACCGACAAACTGTCTTTATTTATTTTCGGGAGTTATAAAAAGGTGCGGCGTCTCTGGATTTACTTTTCAACATGTTTTTGTTTTGTGAGGGCCTTTTGTATAATTTTACGCGGCTAAATGAGTTGTGAGGATTCGTGAGGAATGTGAACTTTTTTCTGAGGGAAAGGCCTTGACTTTCGGTTGGGAATTTAAACAGGAAACTAAAGTTAATTTATTAGAAGCTTTTTTTCGCTTACAACTGATTAATAAGTTTTATTTTTATTGTTTTAAAAATAATAGTCATTTATTTAAATCTATTAATTTACCATATTTATGTTCAACCGATATCACCATCAAATCAGCCTGTTATTCCACACTCTTTCTACACTGCTGAGCAAAAGCCTCTTCTCATACGGAGAAGGTAAATTGTTTTATTTTAGCGTAAAAAGAACAAAAGACATTTTTGGTATTATGTATTTATCATAACGTAAGAAATCTTTGATACTTTAATCAGTCATCATAAAAATGTATTTTTTATGTCATAATTTCTCCTACAATTGTATAAATAAATTTCGTCTGTGAATTGGCTACGAGCTCATATAACACATAGGATTTAAATTTAGATTTATATAATTACACGAAAATTACCATGTAAATTGCATTAAAATTAGTAAAAAAATATTATTCCCTTATAAACTTCTTCTACATTAGATATTTGACAAGGAACAAAACTGTCACTGTCACTTAATAAACAAGAGGCGGTATGCTCGACAAGCTAGTCATCCATAAAAATAAAATTTAATTTTGAATATGGAATTCGCCGGGTCTGTTAGTACGTAATACCTTTGCTTAATAAAAAAAAGAATTCGTTGGTTACCATAACTATTCCAGATGAATAGACCTATTGTTAATATAACTCTTATCATTCGCATCAGGTTGTAAATTTTCCTACGATTACCTAGTGACAAAGAGCGACCCTGAAGTAATCTCATAATCACCAAGTTAGATATGGCTATTGTTATATTATGTATATGCCTATGTATAAATGCAGATCAAGCTATACTAGTCTTCAATACATTTTAAACTTTATTGCTTCGTTTTAAAGTTAAATGTCTTTTGACGAGGTTGGTGTAGGTTAATGTGTTGGTTTTATACTAAGTAGGTACTTATATTGTTGAGCTTAAAGGAACTGTAGTGAAATATAAGTAATTAAAACATCGTTATTATAATTGTTTTCTTCTGTATTAGGTATATTTTAAGGTGATTGTCGTGAATAGATTTTTAACACGCTTTTTTTTATTTAGAGTTAAATTTAGTAGTTGGAAGTTGATTTATCTTAATTTAGGTAATTTTGTTTGCACTTAAGATGTAGTACACCGATTGAGCACTCGTTTGTTATCGAATAGTCACAATCAGGAAATGATTTTGCAAATGGATTGTGTTTTTATTGTTATTATGGTTCTTATATTCAACCATTCCACCAAATTTCTCATTCTCAAACATTTTTTCAAAGTTTTGTAATTGAATTGTGTTTTGGTGTTAATAAGTATTAATAAAATTTTGTACCTAATTGTATTTTGCTTTAAATAAACTATTCTTATGCGAATTATAATAGGCTTTTGTAAAACTAACTTAGAACCCAAATTACTACGCCGTAGTAACTTACTACGAAAACAATAGATATTAAATTTTGACAAAAAAAATATTTATCTAGCTTATTGGTCGGTCTTAAGATTATGGAATGTATGTTTAATTCATATTAAAATTATTTTTCATGACTTTGTAGGGAAAAAGGCTTCTTAGTTATCACTGCTTTTCTGTTAAGCAAAAGATAAGGTTAGATAAATTATATTAATAATTACTCATCCATACCATCATATAGGTAAGTTTATAAGAACCTAGCTTATTAAATTAAAAAGTGGATTAATTTTACCTTTCAGATATAATGTGATATTTTTTCCTATAATATTTTTTCCTATAATATTTTTGTAACATCTTTTGACCCTTTGTCCTTTGAGAAATATTTGGATTTTATGCCAAATATATCTAGTATTATCTAATTGAGAGTTTGTACCTAAAGACTCCGCTATCCGACCTCCAGGTCTGTCTTCAGGCCATATCTTATGAACTATGATGAAAACTGAACTGTTATAATTTGTACAGATTTTGTATTAGTTTTATAACAATAAATACTAAGTATAAAACAATCTTATACCTATGACAAACGTGATAGAAGGATCTCCTGATAGTAAACAATCAGCACCGCCCAGAGACACCCGCAATAATAGAGAAGTTGCAATAAATAAAATTCCTACCTAATTAGATATCTATCGTATATAATTCTAAATTAATTTAATATCAATATAATTCTAAATAATCGTATATAACATTCTAAATTTCCTTAACCACATTTATTCCGTGTTTTGAAAGTATTGCATAAACTTAAAAAAAGGTTTTATTCAAAACAAGGTTCAAACGCCAGAACAGCGCCAATAACTTAAAGGAAGTATTTTTTCAATTTTATATTAACTAAAACCTTTATCGACATTATAATATAGGTAGTTAAAAATACTTCAGACACCTGATAAATAATCATCAAAATATATTTATGACGGGACTTGATACCAAATATTTCTCAGTAAAGATATAAAACTTAGTTTCCATTTTTAATTTTATGACACTATCAAAGTTAGTGTAAGTAAAAGGCAGTATCGTAAATTACCTTTGCTTTACCTTTTAAAAAGATTGAGTATTTTATTGGCGGCCATTGTTGTAAACGCGTGTTTGTCTATGGAGTATGAAATGGAACTAAGTCGTGAATTATATTTATTTAAGTAGGTATTTTAAAACCCTTTTCTGTAAGTATTTGTCGTTTTTTTTGGTATTATTATGAAGTCTTTATAATTAAGTTTAAAGTTTTAAACAAATGTAATCGATAAATATGTTATGAAAATTATTGAAATAAAGTCAACGACTTGATTGACGGGGTTAAATACCTATAAATCATTCCCTACTTACTTTATTCTTCAAATAAGCAAACCTAAAGGTAGTTACGTCTTATATTAATCTTCCATAAACAGACTAATTTGAAAGTCTTTTTAAGTAGTGTAGGTAAATAGATATTAAAATGTATTAAAAAGGACTTTTTCTAAATAAAACCTATAAGTAGGTCATTGAAGATACCTTTTTAATTTAAATATTAAATGTAAAAAGGCTTTACAATTACTAAAATAAATAAAAATACCTTTTTTGAGGGGGTAAAATCATCAAATAATGTCATTTCTTGCCCAGGGTTAAGCGAGAGGGAGTGTTTAACTCTTACTGACTAAAAACCTCCCTCGTCCCTTCTCCTGCTCTAGACCGAGGCCGCGGTATATTAATGCATTTGACCCGCGAAAACAAAAACAATACCTGGTCAATTACTTAAATACACCAGTTGATTTTAGAACCTTTTTTTTAGTTTATTTATGAACATTTTATGAAAGACTAGCTACTCTCGTGCGGTTTCACCCACTGCTGCTCGGCTCCATTTAATCGTAGCATGATGTTTTATAGCCTATAGCACTCAGGAACATTGTAGCTATCTATCAGTGAAAGAATTTTGGCAATCCGACCAGCGGTTCCAAGGATTACCTCCTACATACAAACTTACAAATTTTACCTCTTTATAATATTAGTATAGATTTCGAACTGAACATTTGCAATGTTTAGGTAACAAATATTGCGATAAGAGTATCTAAGCAATAAATCATTGCAATCGATATGTTTACATTTTAAAGAAATGTTTTAATGACAACCCTAACAAATTGTTTAACAAAAAGTAATTTTAGTAACGTTTAATTATTTTATAGATACAAATGTAGGCCTAGATGACAATATCATAGGGAAATTTTGTTCTTTTTAATTTCCATATCTAATTACTATAGGTAAGTACCTAGGTACCAAAATAAAAATGGCTACGTACAAAAATATTATATCTTTAAATTGATTCATTTAACATTTGAAAAAGTTTACATCGTTATATTTTTTTATGCAAGATAGTACCGATAATTTTAAAATTAAAAAGAAATTGATTTCTTAAATTTATAAATTCGATTTACAAAATTATGTATACAATTTAGTATTCCTTATAACATATAATAAAAACTATTTGTTTATTATGATACCAACCAACTCTAAATTTAGGTACCTACATATATTTAATCTGTATTATAAAAAGTAGACAGTGAATAATATTGTACCAAGGAATTGTTTTTATTAAACTTATTTCTTGGCCTTAACCTTGTTCTGGAGAGCTTGTCAAACAATGTTTACAGCCGCTAGTTTCACATAATAAAGTTTTTATTGAACTTTTGCTTCTGAAACTGACTCGTTCTTATTGGAACAAGAGTTTGTATAACTTCCAACTTCCAACTGTATAATGACTTTATAAACTTTGTTTTATATTAATTAAAAGATAGCTGTTTTGTTGCCTTAGCGTTTTATTATGCAGTTACTTACTTATTTATGTAGTATATATTAACGGTTTTGTATAAGATTAATTTCCGTGCCTCCCATGAGTTCAAGTTAAATTGCTGAAGACTTAGATATTAAAAGTACAAGTTATACACTCACCTAAAGGCATAAGTGTGTCTTCTCTGGGGTCTCTGTGTCTTCTCCTCTCTCTTCGCTCCTGGCGATCCCTGGCCATGATGGCAGCGATGGAGAAGTCAGTGGCGCAGGGGCGCGCGGAGCAGTCCTCCTCCATTGCGGGCCCCTGCCGCTCGCGGCCCTCTCCCTGCAGCAGCATCAAGTTGACCGCCTGCGAGCCCAGCCTGCCTACAGCTGACCACTCGACGTCACCGTCCGAACATCCCATCGATGTTCCAGTACATAATCTTTGCAACTTTCAACTTAAAAATCTACCGCAGTTGCCATTTCTAACGCTGATTCTACTTATATTGTCAAAATTTGCTTCTAAACAAATAATGGATCGACTAAAAATATTTGAAGTTTAAACTAAACTTCAAATGTCGAATATAAAATAAATTTTACAGGAATGCAAGCAAAAATCACAGAATATCCGAATAAAATATAAAACACAAACTTGTCAGCTAGTCTATAACAGAACAACGCAAGAATGAATAATCGTCAGTAAGTTCGGTATCGTAATCGCGGTGTGCAAGTTTCGTAGATTGTGTTGAAACTTTTTACGCGCGCTCTGGACGCGGGTAGAGCGGACCGGTGCGGCTCGGCGCGTTGTCGACTCGACTGAGGCGGCGGCAGGCGGCAGGCGGCGCGCCACAGGGAGGGGCCTGCATCGCCGCCCTATGCCACCACACTCCGACCACGCACACACAACCGCTTTTTTATTATTTCTTTCTTATTAAGTCCGTCCCGCTCGCGCTGGCGTCGCAGCTCGCGCCCGTCCCTCTCGCCGAGCGAGTTTTTCTCCGTGTGATAACTATTGAAATTCGCTAAACGGCTCACCGCGGCGCGGAAAAGGCTCTCGCGTTAAACGGTGAGCCGATTGTATTGAGGTATTTATTCGAATTACTCGGTGCGCCGACGCTTCGCATCACTATTTATGCACTGCGAGAGCATCGCACTGTGTTGCCGCGGGCGGACAAAAACCAATTTTGAAAACTTGAAGGTATATGAAAAAACATAAACGGAAATTAAAATTGAATAGGTACTTCATCATATTCCAAAAAATGGAGGGTAGTTATGTAATAAAAACTGCGAGAAATCACTTGTCAAAGTACACTATCGTAAGTGACTGCGGTTTAAAGCGAAAACTTAACATAGTTAAAGTAATAATAATTTTAGAAGTGATTAGTATTTCCAAAATAAACAACATGGAATCTACAGTTCAAGGTAAGGTCTTTTAGAAATTATGCATAAGTTTCTTAAACATAAACCTATTTACGCATATAGCGTGCTTAAATATACGACTCAGAATTTGATTATAAATAAAATTCACGAGAAGATTTGTATGTTCTTTCTATTTCTTTCCGTAACAAAATTTTAACAGTAATTATCTCTGGACTACATACTATTAGCATGTTAAAACAAATGTTGCTACTACACACTACCCGATTTTTTAAAATTAATTGTTTATCACAGGACGCGTTGTTGAATTTACTCGTCGCGAACTTGTGGACATCATGTTTAAAGATCCTGTAAAAAATTGGGATCGAAAGGGCCAGAATTTACAAGAAATTATAATTTCGAAGACTAACTGTCCTCCAGACAATCAAAATGCTACTCGGTATAAGGTGTCACTGTTTTTAAATAAAATTAAATCGAAATACTTAGATGCCGGTCGAAGGAAAGATTTATTTTATAAAAGGCATTCAGCTTGGCTAAATGAAAAGGAGATGTTTACAAATTATGCAGCTCTTCCTGGACCAGGCCGTCCGTCTTCTTCTTTTGACGTAGTAGGTGAGAGGTCCAAGCGAAGAAAAGTTGCTCACTTGGGCGAAACTGCTAGTGGCAATGAATTATCATTCGCAGCAGCTATGACTTATCGCAAAGAGGGGCAAAGCGATAAAGCAAAGGCTATCAGCAAAATTTCTTCAGCTTCATCTGTCAAACTCAAGTCGTACATGTCTTCATTTAGCAGTGATAATAATTGTTTAACACCTGAGGAGGCGCTTTGCGTATTGTTAGACGCACAATTATCCGTATATCAATATAATGTAATTAGACAGGCAGCAACAAGCAGATTTCCTTCATATAAAAAAGTTTTGGACGTCAAGAAGTTATGCTATCCCAATGAAAATGCAATTTCGGCTTCAGAAAAGCACTTTCAGGTTGCATTACAGGATTTACTGGACCACACTTGCACTCGCCTCGCACTTGTATGCAAAGAAGTGTTTTTGTCATTAGAAAATGATACTATAACTGATTTAAAATTACATATTAAATGGGGCATTGATGGTACGTCCGGTTTTACTGAATACAAACAAAAGTTTCAAGATGCTTCAGGAAGTGATGCCGCTATGCTTGTAACTTGTATGGTTCCTATAAGATTAGTCGGTAACACTTCGATTCAAAAAGATGTCATATTTTGGCAAAACAATCGACCATCTTCTCCTAGGTTTTGTCGACCTATACAGCTTCAATTCGAGCACGAAACCACTGAAAGAACCAAGCAAGAAATGATGCGAGTGGAAGGAGAAATTCATAACTTAAGACCTACCAACATCGAAGTAGGTACTAAACATTTTGCAATTTCCCATGAATTGTATTTTACTATGACCGATGGAAAAATTTGTAATGCTGTAACTGACACATCTTCAACTCAAAGGTGCTATATTTGCAAAAAACATCTAGTCAATTTAATTCCATAGCAGCATCGCGACAAGCACCAGTCGATAACGAAAGTCTTCGTTTTGGTTTATCCATTCTACATGGTTGGATCAGGATGTTTGAATGCTTATTGCACGTGAGTTACAAATTACCAGTAAGTAAATGGCGCGTAACAAAGCCTCAAGATAAGCTAGTAGTTGAAGAAACGAAAAAACGCATTCAGCAAGAATTCAAAACCAAGTTAGGCCTAATAATTGATCGCCCTAAACCTGGCTATGGGAATTCCAATGACGGGAATACTGCTCGCCGTTTTTTCGACAATATAGAAATATCTGCTGCTATAACTGGAGTAAATAAAAATCTAATTCATCGCTTCCATATCGTTCTGATGACACATTCTAGTGGTTTCGATATCGACACAAAAAAATTTGATATTTACTGCTTAAAAACAGCCGTGCTTTTTGTAAAGTTATACCCATGGTTTAATATGCCGACAAGCGTCCACAAGATTTTAATGCACTCATCAATTGTTATTTCACATGCCCTATTACCTATTGGTCTTTTAACAGAGGAGGCCCAGGAGGCTAGGAATAAAGATATAAAGCGATACCGTGAACAGTACTCACGAAAGTGTTCCCGAGAGATGACAATCAGAGATGTCTTTAATAGGCTACTCGTAACATCTGACCCATTTATATCAAGCATGCGAAAACTTCCTATAAAAAAGATTAAGGTTTTACCTTGTGAAGTTACAGAGATGCTTCTGCCCTTTAATGTACAAAGAATGGACACAGAAAGTTCATATACAGAAAGAGACAGTGATAGTGCCAGTGAATTTAGTGATTAAGACTTTGTTTTATTTTATTTACCTATTTTTTCTATCTTTCGTTATTTTTACTTATTCGTTACATCTTATACGCATGCAATTAAGTGTATTTGAATTCAAATTTGAATCAAAAATTCTCTAACGTGCAAAAGTGATTTTTTAAAAATCCTATTTAAATAAATGAGTTGATTTGATTTGATTCAAATCCTTTTAGGAGTAAATATTTCTAAACTTTACAATAGTATTTTTTTCTATAAATTTTTAAGCCTGGCAATCATTTATATATCATTTTAATTAAGAATGACGACAGATAAGTTTATTTTGAATACGTGAGTAGGTAAATGAAAATATTATTTTATCAGTTTTTTCATGGAACTTGTCAATATTGGGTTTTACAACTAAAAATAAAATAGAAAACATTTGATACATGTAAAAACTAATTTAATTTCATTGGATAAGTATTTTTCGTACAATTACTGTCTTTAGATAGTAAATTAATATCACAAATAATTTTGTCCGTGACTTAGTATAGAGCGGCAAGACTGTGCATCGATGGGGCTGTGCTCATACGTCGATTACCGCGTTACAATATTTACGGCTATAGCGTGTATATCTACATACATCGGCCCTTAGCTAACTACATGATGGAAATAGCTGCGAGCTGATGGTTTGCTGCTTGCACATTCACATAAAATTCAATGACTGTGAGAGGAATATTAAGTGTGTTTATTCGGAAATTGCGTACTCAATATAAAAACTCGGCTGCGCACGAGTTTGTTAAACAATAATTTATTCTAAAGTTTTCACTTCACATAAAAAGCCTAATTATCTAAGTATCTGCCCTAATCTAAAACCTAGAGGAAAACAACTAAACGAGAAATAGGGGTAAATCGAAAACATCCAATTGAACATTTAATTTGATTCAGGTTTGGATTTTCATTTGTTTTAATCTCTTAGTAAAAAATACGTGAAACCAACACCAGTACCCGCGTTTAGATTTACACTGATTAGAATCACTTGGCTCTGTGTTCGTATCAAGCTAAATTAGCAGAATCTGTGAAATTCGAAGCTACGGCCATACCCGAGCGAGGTTTGCAGCCCTCTAATTCTATTGGTAAAGGCAATGTTATTGTAACCTTACCTTTCTGAAAATGAACAGTAACCGCTCAATTAGAGCGACTTTATAAACTTCATTACGTGTGCAGAGCGGAGGCTGAGTAAACAGTGGTACCTAATGCGTAGGCAATCAACGGCAGCGGCACGACGAACACGCGAGATTGCGACCACCTTTATAGCGTTAGATCAAATTTGCGGAAAATTAAACTCACAGACTTTCTCATAGTTTTGTATTTATAATAATTTATTACGTGCGAGGAACTCAAACTAACCATGTCGTTAGGCAATAAAGCTTATCGGCCTGGAGTCGGTAATAGCGGCACAAATGGCCGTCGATACGCGAATTGTGACGAATCGCATTAATTATTTTGTTGATTTCCATGTAAAGCAACGATAATAACTGTTATTATTCGTTAATTTTGAATAGCCTTCAATGTTTTGAATAAAATTGATTACTTACACGTTTTATGTTATTGATGAACGCAGCCATGACTTCTTTTTGAATAATTTTAATCGTTTGCCAGTAATTTCAATAAGAGAATGTCACACTAAAGAGAAATATTGCCTTTTAAATAAAGTAAGATAATCATTTTAAAAATCAGAAAATATTTGTTCTGTAGATA